GCGCGCATACTGAGACCCGTAAGAAGACATACGGGAAGGCCATCAACTCCGGTTAGCTTCGCCCTCATTGGTCGAAATCTGGGTATTGCTTACCTTGCTGATTTCCAAGAATGTTTGACTAGTTAAGATGTGGTTGTTCGCAGCATAAGGTTTTGTAATCAGGGTATTATTGGATCTGTAGCGGTTCTTCAACCAACAGTTTCGCAACAGCAGTTCACTTTCTTTACCTCTTGTTTTTCTCTTAGTTTCCTGATAGATCCATTCAAGCCGGACGTGATCATAAAATCACGAACCAGTAGCACATTTACCCTACGCTGGTGACTAGCATCAAAACAGGTTCAGCCTCCAACCAGTCTTGTATAATTCAAGACTATCAGGACATGGTTACATAACCATAACATACTTATCAGAACCATCAAGGTTCAGATATCAAATAGTGAATATGCCTATCGATCGGGTAGATTAATTACAAAAGCTAGACTACCGTTAATCTTTTCCTTCTTGTCTACCGGGCACAATCAAGTATATCATCAGCATTTAGCACGTATCGCCATCATTTGGCGATATCGATCTTCTAGAGAACGTTCCTTCACCAGATATAGCAACTTGAATACTTCCAGAATTAAGTTTTGCTTTAACTATTATCAAGCTTTTATTGAAATCGAAAAAATCGCATCGGCACAATTACCCACCGTGAGCTCGTATTGCACACTTTCCTTGCATTGATCAGATCTACTTTCAGGTTTCCGCTTCCGTTGCCTAAATAAAAGCCTAGGCTTAGCCAAACCTACTGTCAACATTTTGGAACTTTCAGAATATATCATTTCTACAACCCCAATCCTTGGTTCTGTTTTTTCTTGGGACGGATATCCAAAACGAACGTGAGCAAACATTAGTGACGGGTTCTAACGAACATCAGCAACCGCTTAGTCACTAAAGAGCCGTTGTTAATGGATGCCATTACCTTCACTACTCTATGAAGTTTTAAAATGCCACCAGGCTTAACCTCGTGGAGCACCTGTTCGCAGGAGAATTGGAATAGGATACACGCTGGGTTTCAGAAGAGTTTGTGGTGGTATTTCCCGTAGAGAATTGAACTGAATATGATGATTCCCTTGGCACCTATTTTCACCGCATCCGCTACGTTTCCTGTAATCAGCCGTACGGCGAGAGCAGTCTAAACTGATAAAGTATGCACTACGTCTCTTTGCCGTTTCCCAAGGTTCCGGAATACCTAATTGTAAGATCTTCTAACATGTCGGTAGTTCATGACTGGAACGACACATGGGAACTCTGGTTAGGTTATGTTCTGCTACGGTTGCATAGTTATTTGCATACCCAAGATTCCAGTAACTGCCGAAAAATCTCGACACAACATCCAAACTCGACCCAGGTTGACAGAATTTTGGTGTTGCATTTATAAAAATGTCTGGGTTTGGGAGAAATTATAACCCAACTATTGTTTTAAGTACACATAATTAGGCCAAAATCTTTTTTATCAGTAGCATCATATATTTAGCGAATGGCCATACTCTAGCTATATGAATAACCCTTTCAGAATATGTTTTTACCCCTCACTTGAACCATGTTGTTTTACCAAGGCCACTTAGTTGGTCACCACACGTTGGCTTTCAATTCCTGCACATTTACTCATCAACACGCTTCTTTCTTTGCGCTCCGAAAATTTTACAACAAACCCGTTGTTGAATTAACGTGATATCCGCCGCACGTTTGGGGCCCGTCCGTCCTTCTTCATACGCATTCCGCAGACACGGGTAGCCTAGGTACTAAAGCAGTCTAAGCACATGTGCAGTGGTTTGAGACCGACAGTGTACCATGATCGAGAGTTGTCACCATCTTTAGTCTGTCTGTTCCGCATAGTTGCAGTTGTTTGCTTGCAGCTTTCGCTCGGGCATCCTTCTCCTTTGTAGCATAGATTTTGCCAGGATCTTCGAGATCCTGAGGCCGCTTCCTCAGCTAGGTCTTTTATCGTTGTTGAAGTCACTGCCACATCCGGTGAAGTAACTTCACTTTAAACGGTGCGTGAGTTGTGCTACACCTTCGCTTGCTAAGCATTTTCGTTTTCAGATACTCTTGAGCGTGGTCAGACTAAACTCCGGTACTTTCAGGAAACAATACACCCTTCCTTGCATAACCGGTTGTTCTTCCTGACTCATACCGGGTGGTCGAGAAGCACGGGAGGATAAGGGACCGGATCGCTGTCGCAGGTCGTGATATTGCATCTTACATTTCTAAACATGCATAAAGATTACTTTACCATGATTTGTTTGGCATACAGTCGAGTGAATGAGCGACGGAATTTGGAAGCCACCAGACGTCAGATGGAACCCTGAGTGTGAACACTCTCCATGTTAATAAAGTTTTCTTTCACGAAAATTATATTCTTACGTGTGAGTGAAATGTGCGCACAGTGCAATGAAACGTACAAAAAAAGAACGATCACAGGGATTTGTACTATTTAATGTGCGTGCAGAATAAAGCAAAACGTTCTCAAACAAATCACAGCAAAATGCCCTCTCCAGCAATCCAAATAGAAGCCGAATTCGATTGAAGGTTAAACACACCGGGGTATGAATGAGAGATTGGGAGAGGGAAGAGTAGGAAGCTCTCTGCTTACTATTGTAAATTGGCGGTATTTTGTGTGGCCTCACCTGTTGGTCGAAAACAGAATGAAAAATCAAGCAATGAAAATATGATTTTGAAATAAGTCGGCGACTCATATTTGATAGTTCATTCATTCTTGGGAGTGTTTAAGGTTATTATCGGTGAGCACTACACATGAATTTTTCTCTCTGTTCTATTGTATCTACTCGTGAGTAGTTTGTTGCATTCTTTGAATAATACCTGTAGCAGAGACTGGAGGTGGTACTAAATCTTCGGTTTACGGTTTAGACAGAATATTATTTTTATGGTCAGCCCCGCGAGCCCCAAAGTGATATGGGGGATGTAACTGCTTTTCACGGTTTTTCGAAGCAGGAATTTGACATCGCATAGTAGTAGAGGACTGAATTTGATGCGATGATGATTTTTGTCGAGTAGAGAGTAAACGGAACGTGAATGTCAAAGCCAGAAAGCACTGTGCAGCTGTTCGCATCGTTTTGAGCCTAGACCAAGTGAAAAAGTATGATTATTGCTCAGTGATCAAGCGAGGGTTCAATCCTCCTCAGTCAGGACTACCGATTGGCATTGTTGACATTAATTTGATGCATGTTATAGTTAACTATAGATCGTGAAAGATGCCCATCAATTTTATGGTAACACCAAAGTAGTTACATGTGCCTTAGAGTGATATGAAGCAAGGTATAGTATCTTCGTCAACAAACTGATGCTGGTAACAACTCCAAAGTAACCGAAAATTGTCACTGGAACATCCCACTTAACGACCTAATTCGACAGTAACTCACATTTTGTCCCAAAAATTGACAGGATCCGTTAATTTCAGGACCTTTGGGAAGATAATAACGTAACTTGGGCTTCAATTACACATAATAGACTCAAATCTCTAAGCCCCGCTTCCACACTGTAATTGTAACTAAAAGTACACATGTCGCTATGCATTTATTTTCGCGTTACAATGATCGGTAAAGTGGATAATGTAATCACGGATTTCGTTGAACCATGTGCAACACCTAATCATTTTAACATTCGGATACTGTCACTTCGAATGTGCATGATAAAGTTGAAAGCTAGCTTTCGGTTGAATAGTATTCCTAGTAGGTTGTTCTACATTCACTTTTTATTACCAAACCGGTTACATTGGGCTAACATCAGCTTCAGTATTGCATACAGTAAGTCAAAAGCCAAATTAAGAACGCGAGTTGTCTAAAGACAAGAAAACGTTCAACCTCATCAAGTTGGATAATTCATAATCATATTGACATGGTATCCGGCAGGAAAATATCGTATCAGTTGACAACGCTTGACTGGTGGTGGGCGTTTCCTGTACTGTGCAAAATGAACTGAACTGAACTGAACATAGTGATAGAATATCCGTAATAGTCCTGAAGTGACTCTGCTTCGCCACCACCACCACCACCACCACCACTGTTCGGCATCACGTTCTTGTACCACTCACGTTGTTATGACACAGTTTCTCCTTGATCATTCAATCAACCGTGCAACGACGCTGTATTTTACGTTACAACGTAATGTTTTGTTCTGGTCTCCTATTTCCTTTACGGAGCTCTTTTGGCGATTGCAAGCAAACACCCAACCGTATGGAGAGTGTCACCCTCGGTAATAAACGATCGGGGTTAGCAATCAGAATACGCACGCGGATGGACAGCCTTTAGCGGGTTTTCCACAGCTGCTTCTTGTCAGTTGACAATTCATGAAGGCGACCCAATCGCAAGAACTTGCACAAATATACGGGAGCGTTAGAACGAAAATAGGTGGATTAGGATCCTTTTAATGCTATGACATCGAAATGCACGCGCCATGGACTAAAACGTTGTGGTTATTTTTGCGTGCGATCTACGTTTTGGAATGAGCCACTTGTATTTCGGAGCCCAACTCGATGTGAAACAATCTAGCTTGTCGAACTACCAAAGTATGTAGTTGCCGGACTGGAAACAGCTCTGAATGCAGAATTGAGAAACAATAGCACTACAACCCGTCAAACGCTGACAAGCAGTGTGCAGAAAAGGGTCGGGAGTAGAAGAGACGGATTATAGTATATATATATATATAGATAGAATAATTTGTATTAGTAGTGCACTGTCCCTATAATTTGATCACGTCTAATTTGGATAGCTACTTCAGTAGCGTTTTTATACTTATTTAGTTGCCAAATATTTTGACATATTCTGATGGGCTATAGCTTTGGTGAAAATGGCGTGTCCCATCAGTTGTGATGAACACTGTACGACTATATGTTTGCGTGTGAGAAGAGCTGTTCAGGACACATCTGTCCCCCCCCCCACCCTCNTGGGTTTAAAAAACCCGGATAAGTTAGTGTCCGACATATTTGTTACCAAAAAATCAATTATTTACATAAATTGATCAAAAAAATTTGCACAATGATCTATTTAACACAGTGTGATATGGGAACACAGAGATGTGATAAGTGAAGAAGGAACGCTTTTTCTTAGAGTTTTAACTAGATCTTACAAATCACAAAACAAATCTGGCCGAGGTTATTATGAACTATCTGATCAAATGAGATTGCAAGAAAGTGAACAGTGCTTTATCGCACAAAAACAACCACAAACAGCGAGATTCCGTTTGAAAGAGAAAACAAATGACACACTTACTCTCATCTGGATCGAGTGAACTACTTTTACGAACGTTCTCTGACGATTGTTTAACTGCAGCTTCCGAGGCTTGTCGATCGCTCAAATGAGATGGAGGACGGCTGTTTCGGATCGTACTTCGGCTATCATTTCGTTCGGAAGCCCCACTGGAGTGTGTGCTACTCACTGTAGAATCCGGCGATTGACAAGTATCCGGTTTTCTGTGCGTTGGTGACATTGCGTCCGGAGTGCGTGGAATTTTCGGTCGACTCTCAAAAGCGGATCGCTTAGTGCCCACAGAAGTTCGCGAACCTTTGCTGGGTATCGAGGATTTGTTCGGGCCTTGGGTCGAACTAAGAGATGTTTGAAATGGATGAGATTGGAGCTCGTTTTGGGACCCCTCGGTGTGTTCCTGTTGCCGTTGCAGATCGGTTAGGATGTTTCGTAGCTGACCGGAATCCAATTGTGTGGAAGATCTAGGTGTGGCATCTACAGAGTGAGAAAGAAAGCATCTCTGTAGGTAAAGTAAACAACTGGTTTTTCGGGAGAAACAGGCGATCCAGACCATAGAACCCGTTCGCTTAAAAATAAGAAGCGAGTGAAAGTTTCATAGGAACCTGTACATTTTTCACATGGGACACCGTTTGGTTGACAACTGTTAAACCGAATTATGGCATGCATACATAAGGAATTGCGAAACGTACTTTTTGTATTAGTTCCTGAGTTGATTTTGTGATCAAAACGTGGATCAGAAAAATTAAAATAGGCAGAGCAATTAATTGGTTTTGCATGAAAACGGCAAGTATACTATCGGTGAGTCTCAAGAAAGCCAGAACCACTGGTCATTGACAGATGTGAGAAGACAGTTTGTTAGCAAGAAACTTGTATGCCCACGGTGTCAAAATAAACGGCTTGTCGATCGATATGTTGTTACTATTGCCATTATCTTACGTACAAATCACGGCACAATTATTTTTTCTACCAAAGAAAAAGGCTGCAGAGTGAAATTAACACGTATGAAAAAAATTATTCAAATCGGATCAGATCTAATAATTCCCACTTGGGCCCGGAACCAAATTCTCTAGGTTCAATTTAATTAGAAACGTACACCTTTAACTCCACTGCAATCGGTCATTTGAGTATGCAGAAAATGAAAAACCAAATATCCTTTCCTCGATAAAAGTGTGGTTTTGTAAACGATTTATTCACCGGACGGATTACATACAAACAGTTTTGGTTATATGCTTCGTTCATAACATTGGAACTTCTCTTTCTCTCCCTCCATTTTTCCAACAAGCTGGATACACATGCTTTTGAAGATGGTCATCCTTGTGTGTGGATAACAGTATTCCTATTCTACCACATAATAGGTTGCCTGACGTGAAGTGTGCACATACTATTGTACTAGAAGTGGTAACTGTTTCTCGAGGATTCGAGGTTTGGTTCAGCTAAGTTGGGCATAAGTAAAATGGTACTTATAGGATTTGGGGGACGGGGTGGGGGAATCGAACATCGCTATCGACGCTAGATTGTTCAAGTCTGTTGGTACAACTGTCCAAAAACCATGCTCAGCTTAAATGCAACGATTATGTTCATCGTGGTAGCGCATAGTTTGATCAAATGCTCGACCTACACTGATTATGATGGTAATGTGCTATGCGAGTCAACCGAGAAACTTCCGTGCAATGCGATATTTACCGAGGTAGTTGATGAAGAGTGGTGAACTCAGGACTCTGAAAGAGGGTATGAAAATTCTGAGGGGAATAAATAGAGGTTTCTTGGTTGGGGACCTCAGGATTTTTAATAGTTTTTTGACGACGGGATTAGTCTAAGCGATGTTTAAAGATACTGAGCAATACGGCTGGGTGTTGAAAACAGCGGCGTTTGTGTATCCACTTATTTTCCATGCAGATCTAGTTTATCTGACACTGGAATCTATATTTTGATAGTGCACTTTGCCTCAAACACTTAGTCGAAAGACAGCAGTAAAAAAAAATTGTGCGACAGTGCAAGATCCATGAGTGTGGAAACGGAATAACCCATTTTAAAGATACGTTCTTTTCTAGGTATGCAATCCGGTGCTTTAAATGACGACGAGAATGAACCTTGTCATCATACACAATCATTCATACGATTCATATAAACGATACAGAACGTAAGCGAACATATGTTTCCAGGTGGTTTTATTCCAAAGCCGTTGCAGAAATGGGTGGCTTAATAGTTAGCAGGTAATTCAAGTCAGCACTCTACTCATGCAGTCCACTTTCAAGTAGGGAAGTTTGAGTGCCCATATCAGTAATTTTGTGCATACGATTTTGGTCTTAACAATTGAATGATAATTTTTCCGGCTGTTGCTAAGGTTTTACTGGGAACACCTTTGGGTTTGTGCTGATCAGTCTGGTAAATAACAGTGAATTAGTGTCCACCCGATGCCTAGTCAAGTTTCAATGTGCGACAGTTGAATTTGAGATAACTGCGTCGTTCTGTTCGTGTCTAAAGTAAGTAAGGCATTGACGAGACCAGCATGGGTAGTTCATTGTTGCTCTGTCATCGAATGACTGATGATGTAGAGAAGACGTACCTGAGTTTGGTCAAACTGAATGTGCTCTCAACCGAGACACCCTAAATTNNACACACACACACACACACACACACACACACACACACACACACACACACAATTGATATAAAGGCTGGCAACCAAATTAGTAAAAGGTTTGTATAACTCCGAAAGACTGCAAATATTGGAACTCTACTCATCTCAAAACCGCCGACTTCGGGGGAACCTAATCTTGGCATATCACATACTTCATCAACCCAACCACCCTTGCCATTCTATGCTAACGTTATCTCAAAATGATCACCTCAGGGGACATCCACTAAAGTTGAAGACCCAGAACAGCCACCTTGATTGCTGGCATCACTCATTTGCAATCAGTGTGCGGCGTATGAAATTATCTTCCATCCGATGTAGTATGTGCTCCTACAGCGGAACTATTTAAATCGCAACTTGCTAAAGCATTGGAACACTTACAATTTCGAAATCCGTGAGTGATCATGCAAATCGTTATTATTATTAATATTTTCTTATGTATTTTGTAATTTTGAAAACACAGCGATGTCGGTACAGGTGAAAATAAGCCGACGTTTCGGTTACCGTGGGTAAACTTTATCAAGGCGATTGGCCAGGATGCGATGTTTACACCCTTAGATCGTTGTTCACAAACATGGTAAAGGGGACGAGACTTCCTGACCTGACTCGAAAGGTATGAGCAGATTACTCTTGTAATTGACTGTCACCCCGGCGTGTCAAGTGTCTGCTCGTGAGACCGATACACGTTGTTCCATCGGAGCAAGCTGAGGAGTAAACTCAGAATGAGATCACAGAAACTGGACTTTTATGTTCAAGTTGTAACCTGGGGGCCAGTTTGGATGCGAATGTGACACGCGACAGTTTTCCCCTCATTTGTCTCTCATTTTATTATGCTATCCACAGATCGATCTGGATATCCATTTTTGGGAAGACCTGGTACAGGAATTCTAATTCATTCTTAACTGTATTAGGCGAGCAGATTTTACGCACTCTGTTATCGAGACACTGAATCAAATTCCGCTCTCTTTTGAGCATACGAAACTGAAACTGAATGTATTGTACCGACCACATGCTTCTGCTATACACTGAGTGTTGAATAGACCCCTCGGTTCATGGTGTTTGAGGCAAACATCAAGAAATGCGACCTGGTTGTCAATTTCCTCTTCTAATACAAACTTAGTATTTGGATGCGTGCAATTGAATGTTGCCAGTGTGTCATTGAGATTACTATCCTTGGCCACGAAACACAATACAAAATCGGTATATCTTTTGTGTAGCTTACAATTTTTAGTGGCACATTTGAGGGCATTGTTTCTAGCACTACCATGAAGAGATCCGCAAAAAACGGGTTTAGTGGGCAATGCATAGCAATACCGTCATTCTGACGATAAAAAGCACAGCTGTACTTGAATTGCATGTTATATGTGTAAAAATAAAAGAACTGCCATAAGTCCTCAGTCGGGATACCGATATATATCATACCATATAATATAATATCAATAAAATACTATAATGTAGTCTTGTATCTATGCATATAATATATTCGTATTATCATCTTTAGCAGCTGGTTAGGTAGATAACCAGAAGAATCTAAAAGGAACAGGATCACCGAAGTGCATGAATTGAGTTAAGCACGGTTCACATCGAGTCATTGATTCTTCCCTATCAGGAGAGGTGATTGTTTCACATTTAAACCACAAACGTTTAAGGGTGAACATACATGTACATGGAACTTCAATTACAACTTAGAGTGTGTGTGTTTGAACAAGCTTACCCTCACTGAAACTTTGAGCCAGGGTGGCCAAACTATCTCGCAAGTAAAGTGGATGACTGGATTCCTCCGTGACCGGGACCGGGACGTCTGCATTGCGTCTGTAAATGCAGGAGGATAGAGGGCAACTGNAACTGAGCAAAAAACCAAATACCACACAGAGAATATTCAAAGAGTGTTTGGCCGGTCTTGAAAATAGTAACATAATATTCTAAATCACACCTCCGATGAAACTGGGGTGCTCCGTACTTGTGATGACAATTTGAACTAAACTAATCAGCACAGGATTTTGTCTGGGTGAAATCACAATAAGAAATAGAATATATATGATCAGGAAGTCACACTTTCTTGCACATCCTATACAATTAACTGTGTATCACCACAGTTTGGTTAATGTAAAGTTGGTTGGGGTATACGACGTAAGTCATCAATTAGACTGCCACGGCATGCGATCTTTGCCGAGACAGGTACTTGGTGGAAAAACGTCAAGGGTGTTCAAACTAAGACCTGAAATGAGGGTATGAAAATCCCGGTCAAGAGGCTTGGATAATTAGGTCGCGTTAGGACTTCGCGGTCGAATATCTCGGGATCAGGGTAACCGAAGGTTGAGTGTCGTAAACAGTTGCGCTTGTGCATCTTCTTATTCGATTTACAAATTCAGTCTACCCAAACTGTCTATTTTCACCTTGATGTTGCTTTAAAAATTCCAAATCATTCTTCTACTAAGTCATCCCAATTAGCAGCCAAAAGACAACAACAAAAACAAACGCACCCAAGTGTATGGTTGACGATTGTTTAATCTAATTTGTTAACTGTTAATGCGATCTCACGTACGTGCGGCGTCTGACAGCAGGCAATCGTGATTCATAAACGCGAGAGCATGTAGTGCGGTAGACCCTCCGGGGATTGGTGATGATCATTGGATTATTTACAAATAAGATATCAATCTATCACAAAGAATCATGTGTTGTCTCGTTTGAAGGCGAAAAGTAAAAACAAACGTCTGAAACATTCGACGTTTTGAGATGGTGCTGTCGGGGTACGCAGTTTAGTAATCGAAAAAGATGTCGACTTAGAGTTAATTTAGATTAACTTGCTTCAAACATCTGAGGAATAAATCATATGTGGATGATTTTGTTTGAATTAAATCCTCATTATGCGACAGCTAAGAAATAGGGTCGATGCGGAAAGTCAATTTGAGCGTAACCACGGTGAACTTTGTCATAAGTGACTAGTGACAAAAGGGATAGATACAGTTATTCCAAAGTCGGACCAACATTTATGCCACACACTGTACATGCGGGACTCCCACATGACCCATGGCTTAAAAAGACCTAGACGTAAACTCCGTATAAGTCCCACAGCCCCCAATAACTCATTTTTTTGCTGTGATTAACATCCTTTCAAATTCATTTATCGCTTTGGTTGCTCCGAGAATTAAATATCTTTCAGACTGATACCGACTTATCAAAGTTATATCACTCACCAGAGGTATGTATGCCTCATTTTCAATTGTTCGGAATAATTATTTCTTAAACGCTTATCTGTGATAGAACATTCTACCATAATACGATATCGGTAAAAGCATGTATCCTCAAATACCTTGAAGCGGCAACTTCGTATTCTTCTCTCATACTTGAGTGTGCAACGAGCTGAAAATTCACTCAGCGAAATGAGTATAGATTTTCTTTTAAAAATGAATGAGACGTAGTCAAAAGAAATTTAACTGATGGGAGATTGTGTTGTTTTCATTCTGTTCCTCCCCAAGGTAGACAGATATGAAATCATGAGTTACAATACCCAGACGATTGTGAATGTCTGAATAAGAATCTCTAATAGTTGACCATAGCTATTCCCCAAGAAATGACTTTGTGAGGACACAACTGAACGTGGTCAATCATTATAAACGGATAAATTCAAAATCCAGGAGAAAACAGTCTATTTACGTTGGAAATCAAGTGGTTTCGCTCGTGAGGCGAACTACAAAAGACCAGATAGAGGGGTTGGGTGAGGTGTTGATCTTAGGCGAAGATGAAGCTACTCACTAGCCCAATTGGATTGTGGAGGTGGGATTCGAAGACGGGAACTTTTCAGAAGTCCTGTGACCAACAGTTTCGCAAGGACCTTGTTCTTCACTATAAAGATGTGGATAAAACACCCCGGCCGAATCAAAGGATTTTTGTCATTTGATAACTTAACGACGACCCACGCCCAGGCCAACAATTGACCAATGAGGGAGTCTCTTACCTGCACTTGGTTAATGTATACTAACTTAATACAGGTTTAGTTTAGTACCTTTAGTCCCCATCAGATGTATCATCGAAGCGAGCACACACTGCCAAACAATGGCAGTAGTGACTTATTGGACACTTTCCCGATAGGAAAAACACTNNGCCTTAGATCCATTACATAATGATGGGTTAACGGATCGACTTAGGGTTGTGCGCCGCACATTGCTCTAATATGGTCAGTCCTATTTGGGGTTTTCAGCTCCCGTTGCTAAAACATGAGCTTACGGTAGCTGATTATCGTTTACCGTGTTCCAGAACTTTCGTAATCGAGATGGTGTATACCCCTTTCATATTTCGTCATGTTTTTTTTCTACCAAAGAGGAGTCGTTAGGAGGAAACTGATCTTGAGATCAGTCCTTTTAGGCACCGAAAGCATCAGAGGCTTGAATGCGCCTGTGATAACGACTGGAATCGCCAGGTCAAAGCCATAACAATATTCTAAACATAATCCTGGACTGTATACTTTCACAGAGCTACTTTTCGGTATTTTAAGGTCATCCACTATTAACCTTCAGGCTTCCGTGTTCGGAGTTCAGCTCTTCGATCAATATACTCAAGTTATACCATAATATTGGAAGTATAGCGATTTTGTCGGTCAATATAAATTAACCGCATGATTGACAAAACCTCGAAACTAATGAACCAACTGACTGTGCAACGATTCTGTCGAAGCTAGAACGAGCTCTCAATGGCTTCTGAACCACGCCATCTCCTTTCCTCCTTCCCTCCAGTACAGTTCACTGTTCAATTTAGTTTCGATGTGTCATTGCGGGATGGACCAGAATCCGTGTACAGTCGATCTAAAGGATTATCCGAATCGAATTGTATTCATGGCAAATATACTCGCAATTACCCCAATTTGGAAGCTGTACTCGGTCGACTTTCGGAGATCGAGACACGTGCTGATCGCTGACTGGGTGTGGCCGGACGACGTAGAACACTCATACTTTTCACACTGGTCAGGGACATTCGGGCCTCGTTGTCTCGGGACAGCATCGGTTTGCACCAGTCCACACCACCGTTGGCCTCTCCGCGCACAGTCGGTTCAACCGCGTAGTGCGATTTCAACAGACCTTCCCCGACCCACAGACGAGGATCACGAAGCATTGCCTCCGGACCGGTCAATGATTTCAGATCACTCGGATCCGGCGGTGGGAGATCTTGCCGATCTAGATCCGATTCGAGAGTAGGCGCGTCCTCCTAAAAGAATAAGGAAACGAGATTAGGTGAAGAAAGACAGACCGAGATAGCAGATAGAAATTAAATGAAATAGGAG